AAAAAGCTCTTTTTGCAGGTGGAGATTGATATTTTGACTGGAGAGACTACTATTTTGCAATCGGATATTATTTATGACTGCGGGCAGAGCTTGAATCCAGCCATTGATTTGGGACAGGTTTCTTTCTTCATTATGGATTTTAGATTATGTAACTAGAATTCGTTATATCATGCATTCGAGCTGTTATTTGAACTTCAGAACTATTTAGTTCTTGATCACAAGATTGTTCTAAATAGTGGGAATTTCTTTTTCCCGATTCGTTGCAGATTGAAGGGGCATTTGTTCAAGGAATTGGATTTTTCATGCATGAAGAATATCTTACAAACGAAGACGGGTTAATGGTCTCAAATAGCACTTGGACGTACAAGATCCCGACTATTGACACCATACCTCAGAATTTCAATGTCCATGTGGTAAACAGTGGACATCACAAAAAGCGTGTTCTCTCGTCCAAAGGTATAATTTCATTTCCTTTGCTGTTCCTTTGGTCAAACAAGTTCTTTGCTTGTTCATTTATGACTGCAGATGTCATGAAAAATTCTTATACTCATTCTTCACTTCAAAATGTCTCTTTTGATCAACATGGTATATGTATGTTCATTCATAGACAGTGGTGGATAAAGAATGAGTTTCACATGAACCTAGATCCGTCTTTGTATGTACAAACTGTTTGAATCTTAATATGCATGCTTTTTTGCAGCATCTGGTGAACCACCGTTGCTGCTGGCAGTTAGTGTCCATTGTGCAACACGAGCAGCGGTTAAAGCAGCACGTGAACAGCTCAAACAATGGGACAAGCTTGACGGGTCTGTTTCAGAATTCTATCTGGACGTCCCTGCCATATTACCTGTTGTGAAGACACAGTGTGGCCTGGATTATGTGGAGAAATACTTGGAAACTTTGGTGGCTCAGAAATCTAACTATACTTGCATCAACATGGATCTCAAATGATACTGAACTTAAAGAGTTGGTTTTTGTGGAGTCCATATCAAAACAGCAAATTCGCTATTTTGCTTCAAGTCACTATTTCTTTTTCCAATTTAATACGATTTACTATTTGATTCAATTTTCAATTCTACTATATTCAACCTCTAAATCAAAATAATATACCCCATTTAATTTTATTTGTTATCCATCTGCATATATAATTAAATAAACAATAGTAAATTCAAAAGTTCTCTTATTTTTTTCAATAGCATATAAAAAAATTGAAACATATAAAATTGTTATTTCCCTCAAATAAAACCGTCCGCTTATGCTGCCACGTCCTAAATATATTTTCTTTTTGAAAAGAGTCAAATAAGTAGGTACGAAAATTATTTGCCTGTCCCCTTCAAATCTTCTGACCTTGGAATTTTCTGAAAAGATTAGACTGTATGAAACTTCAAAAGTATTTTAATGAATTATTGATACTCTATCGTGTCAATTTATATTACTTTAATTTAAACAATTTTAAAAGAATGATATATTATTATATTTAGTAGTAATAATTTAATTAAATAATTTATAATTATATAAATATTTATAACTTATTTTGATAAATATTAATATTATCACGCATTTTAATATCATTAAAAAATTAAAATATTAAGCATAGTAATTAGTAGGCATGAAGTGGCGAAAGTAAAACATAATTATTTCATTCTTTGTATCTTATGTAATCACAAAGTCGCGTTCTCTAGATTATCTCCTACTAATTACCTATTAATCCTCAAATGATTATCCACATTTTTCACATTGTCAATTACTTTATCAAGATCTAACAAATTCAACGAGAAGGGATAAACTATCAATCATTTCTGGATAAATTCGAAGAAGAAGATAAGAGAGAAATACTTTATATTATAAGGCTAATTATCTTTTTTAGTTCATACATATATCAAATGAAGTTTAAGGTAGATAACTTACTCGTTATTCCTAGCTTTTATATTCTTGAATTACTTAAGCATCCTCATTTGTAATATCATCATAGTGAGGATTATAAATTCTGTTATGATCATAGAATACCTAGTTTTTTTTTAATTTTTATTTTCGTCATGCTTGTTAACTAGTAGAGACTTGTTATCTAATTAGGAATAGTAAAGTAAGACCTAACCCCCTTACTGTTAGGATCGAAAGGTGTAATGCGGAAGCTAGCAAAACAAATCTTAAAAGACCACGAGTAAGAAGACAAACAAGAAATATACCAAAAGACACAAAGATTTAACGTGGTTCGGTCAACCGACCTACGTCTACGAAGGAGGTCCAATTCACTATAAATATGAGAGTACAAAATATAGAGCAGAAATAACCTCAACCAATTCACTCAAAATACATGGGAGGTTTACACAAGTGATAACGTATTAAGCTTGTGTCCACAAATTTCCCCCTAACCAAAACTTTCAAAACCCTTAAAACTACATTATGAATGTTGATTAAGTTATAAGGAACATCACTCTATTTATAGAGTCCTAAACCTTTTCCTGCATAAAAAGGACTAGTCAATCCAAAATCTTTTAGCACTCTTATTAGTGTCAATATTTAATGCCACTAAAAGTTACTTTAATTATAGTGACTTGTACTTATTATTATTGATATTTTTTATTTTTAATAAAAAATCACTAGACGCTCTATCTAGTGGTAAATTTACTAAAAAAAAATAAATCATTTTTGACATTTATTCGTGGAAGAAATTCTACACTTGTATAGAACATATTTTTTCTGTGTTGAATAGTTGAATAGAGAGATAAATATGAAAAGTGAATATTCTTTTATTTCATTTTTTCATTTTATTTTTTAAACTGTAATATATTATTATCCCTGGGATATACATCAATGGTAAGTTTTAGAAATCCTTCTTTTTTTAAAAAAAAATTCATGTCAAATCAGACCATGAATATTTAACCATTGTGCATGTAGCATACACTTGTGTATAAAAGCAAGCATTTTTAGACACCCAAATCAAATCAAGATTCTTGCTTTTCTTTCAGCTGTGATATTTCTCAGCTGACAAATTAGAAGAAAAAAAAAAGAGTAGAAAAAGATATGACTTTGATCAAAGTCAATTGAAGTGCTTGAGTATATTTTGCAGCTAAAGACAAGATTTTGTTACATTGATTTGATGGAGGAAAAACAGAAAAAAGGGACTTCATTGGTTTTTGCAGTTAATGGAGAGAGGTTTGAGTTGCCATGTATTGATCCTTCTACAACTTTGCTTCATTTCTTGCGCTCTCAGACTTGTTTCAACAGTCCTAAACTTGGTTGCGGCGAAGGTAATTCTCCTTTTCCTGTATATAAGTACTGCGACTTGACATGAAGTTTAAGAAGAAAAATAAAAATCTTTTTGAATGTGTGCTCTAAATGTGTCATTAATTTTTTTTGGGACCGACTAAAACACAATGTGATCATATAAATTGGGATAGAGGTAGTTTGTGTTTCTTAATAACTGTTGTGTCCGGGGAGGATACCTCGACTTAATTTCATTGGTACTAGCTACCCCTTATCAAGTATCATGTAACTTTGTCAATTAAGAGTTTGAGACATTATGATTATTAACCGAACAATATGGTTTGTTGTTCGTATGAATCCACAACGAGTTAAGGGACCAGGTCCTTGACTAATCAATATCTAAGAACAAAGAGTAAGAATCTATACAACAGAATATAAGTAACACAAGATTTTTATGTGGAAACCTTGTTGCTCAAAAAAGAAAAAGAATAACCACCTGTCACGAGAATTTTACTAACAACTTCACTTAACACAAGGTTTACAAATTCTTGCATCCTCGGAAGTAAACAATCCCTTACCTCTTATTACAACTCTATTACAAGACTAGTGTAACAATTCTATTACACTCCTACTATACATGCCAACTAACTCTAGGTGATATAGATTTCAACAACTCGAATCTAAAATGGAGTAGGTTTACAATATTTAGCACACGAACCAAAACCTAACAACTAGGAATAAAAGAACAACCTCGATTGATAAGAGCAGGTCCCTTGTAGTTTGAGGTCCTCATGTTATAAAAACTGAGACAAGTTATATGTTAAAACAAAAACAACATTTTTCAATGTTGAAACAGCTAGGCTTTGCTCTTTGTCAAGTCTCTTTATTAATGAAAGAGAGACAATGGGCAAAACCTTAACCTCTTCTCATTGATCAAGGTGTACAAGGACTCTACTGTCCTGTTGCTGTAATGCCAGCAAGGCTGACTCAATAACATTGGAGGCCTAAAGCGAAATTTAAGAAAGGAGTCCTAAATTTTTTTTCTTGCATATATACTTTAATTTAAAATCTACTTTTTTAGCTGTTTTAATTATTCCTTTACAAAAGATAATATAGCTATTTTATTCGATCTCTCTTGTGACATTATCGATCTTAAAGTAGATTTAATTAATTTTAATTTCAAAAAACTTCTTTCGATTGAGGCAACGGTTACAGGAACTGTTAGCATTATGCTATAAGCAATATGTGTATTTGGAATGAATCAAGTCTTTTTATTTGATTTAGTATTTCTATTAAATCATTATCTTCTACTTATTATTTTCCTTAACACATTTAATTCAAAGAACAAATCTAAATCATCAATATCAGAATAAATATCACGTGTTAAAAAAAATTCAAGGTTAAGACAATATCGTTTAAATTCTCATTATCTAGTTATCTCAATATTTTACCACTAAATAAGAAATTAAAAATATTTTCATATGCTTCAATTCGTTCAAATCTATTTTGAAGTGAAAATGTAGTTTGATCTACTCTCTCTATATAATAATCAACTATAAAAGATTCTTCAAGAGATTTTGTGATTTCGCTATCCATATTTTCATCATATTATTTCTTACGAAATTCAAATTTATTTTCATCCCATATGCGATTTTCTTGATAAAAATCATAACATAGCATCATATATTTTTTATTTAAAAAATAGCATATATGAGTAATTATTTTTTTAAAATGAAGCTCCTAAAATATATGGGGCCGTGGCCTAGGGGTGGGTTGTTGTGGCGCGGATTTAACTCGTCTCCATTACTTATTCTCTCAATTTCCTAAAGTACACACTTGAAAGCCATCTATCATAATTTTAAACTGAAGGGAAGATTTCATCTTTAATTTTGAATTATGACACAAAACTAATGGGGAGATTTCATCTTTAGTTTTGAATCAAAGTGTGCCGCACTGTGCAGACACGATATGCTTAACATCTGTGTTGTTTGACTTTATTTGTGAAAAAGCATTAGAGGCCTTCATCAGGTGTGTCAATCATCCAAATCAGTTTTACAGCATTATAGCATGTTTGTTTGGTGCTAATACGAAAGGAATATTAAAAAAGTGTGGATTTAGTTAAATTGGTTATCTCATGGAAAATCTTCCTTTTTCTCAGTTTCTGTTATTTTTTCTGGGAATTGATAACTTTACTGTACTTCTCTCATTTACTATTCATCTTGAACACATAATATTTTGATCAACTTATTAGGAATTCCTTTTAGTTTTTTCGGCTCCCGTGTATAACCACAGAAGGGACCCTTCGGGATGGCCCAGTGGTTTGGGCTTGAGAATTCCATGTTGGAGATCTCAAGTTCGAAACCCCTAAGGGGTTTACTTTCTGGTCAAGCTCGTCGCACCGGATTTGCCTAGTGCGGGTTACTTCTCTCCTAAGTGATTTGCAAGTTATTGTATAGGAGCGGAAGCTGCACCCAAAGAATAGCGGCTGCAGGGTTCTTTCAGCTCCAAATAGAGGTCTCCAGTTCGAGTCTTGACTATGGGATCATCTTATAATGGATTAGTCAGGCCATTGGATTCTAATTTCTTGAGGGTTTTCAGGCAATGAAATCTTTCAAATAAAAAATAAATGGTTTCTCTTAATTTGTGGTTGCGAGTTTTTATTTTCTTTTCTCATATAAAGTTAATGGAGTTTTTAGTTTCAAATGAACTAATTTATGTAATTCATCTTCCTATTTCTTCTGGTTGATTGGGAGTTAAAACAATCAGTTCTCAACACTCGAACCTGAGATGTAATGATCATTTTGCTTGTTTGCTGACTTTAGACTAATGTATTTGTGTAACACCTTCTCAATTTGTGGTTCGGAACGAAGTTGACTTATTTGTATGGTTACAGGTGGTTGTGGGGCTTGTGTCGTTCTGGTATCAAAGTATGATCCAAAGCTTAAAAAGGTTGAAGATCTTAGCGTAAGTTCATGCCTTACACTTCTTTGCAGTTTAAATGGTTTTTCAATTACTACAAGTGAAGGTCTTGGGAACACCAGAGATGGTTTCCACTCTATTCATGAAAGGATTGCCGGTTTCCATGCTTCTCAATGCGGCTTTTGCACTCCCGGCATGTGTATGTCATTTTTCTCCGCTCTTGTCAACGCCGATAAAGGAAACAAGCCAGATCCTCCACCGGGATTCTCTAAGCTTAATTCGTCCGAAGCTGAAAAGGCCATAGTAGGGAACCTTTGTCGGTGTACTGGATACCGGCCCATTGCTTATGCCTGCAAGTCTTTTGCTGCTGATATTGATATAGAGGATTTGGGGCTCAATTCTTTTTGGAAAAACGGAGATTCCAAGGAAATGAAAGTAAGTAAATTACCTCCCTATGATCCAAACAAGAATTTAAGTACATATCCCAAGTTCTTGAAAAGTGAATCTGCCACGATTTTGGACTCCTCAAGGTACCCTTGGTACAGTCCTGTTTCCATTGAGGAGCTACGGAGCTTGTTGTACTCCAATGTGACGGAAATTGGTACAAGCTTTAAACTTGTCATTGGTAATACTGGCAGTGGTTATTATAAGGAAACTCAACGATATGATCATTACATTGATCTCAGGCATGTTCCTGAACTCTCAATAATCAAAAGAAATCAAACAGGCATTGAAGTCGGAGCAACTGTGACTGTCTCTACATTCATTTCTTTCTTGAAAGAGGAAAGTAAAATCAATTTTGGTTCATATGGAAAGTTGGTGTCTGATAAACTGGCTTACCACATGGAGAAGATTGCTTCACCATTTGTGAGAAACTCTGCTAGTGTGGGAGGAAATTTGGTTATGGCACAGAAGAATGGTTTTCCTTCAGATATTGCTACATTATTTCTCGGGCTTTGTGCTACTGTTAGCTTGATAACTGGACATGGATTTGAAAACCTCACATGGGAAGAGTTACCATTGAGACCACCACCAGACTCGAGGACTGTACTTCTAACTGTTTCTATCCCATTTAAGAAAGATCAAAATTCTAAATTTTTGTTTGAAGCCTATCGAGCTGCTCCACGACCTTATGGAAATGCATTGGCATATATAAATGCTGCTTTCCGGGCTGATGTTTCTCTCTGCCAGAACAGCTTCAGGATAAACAATATCCGGTTGGCATTTGGTGCTTATGGCACTAAATATGCAACAAGGGCTAAAAAGGTAGAGAAATATCTAACTGGGAAAATGTTAAACGTACATATTTTATATGAAGCACTAAAATTAATCAAACTAGCAGTGGTACCGGAAGATGGCACTTTGCACCCTGAGTACAGATCAAGCTTGGCTGTCAGTTTTGTTTTTGAGTTTCTTTATCCCTTAACTGATGCTCATTCTGTTATTTCTGGTGGCTTACACAATGGAATTAATGACATCTCAGTCGAGGAAGTCTTCAAAAGTAGTAAAGATGGATGCATCAGTCAGGGGAAAAAACAAACACTACTGTTTTCTGCTAAGCAGGTTATGGAATCTAGTACTGAGTACTATCCAGTAGGTGAACCGATGATGAAGGTCGGACCTGCCATGCAAGCTTCTGGTTTGTTCCGCCTTTTAATATTTTATATCGTCTTGTGCTTTTACCCTTTTTTCCGGCTTTGACACTAATGGCTTTTTGAGATATAAGTAGTTATGGACAAAATATACTTATTAAATGCTAGGAGTATTACAATGATTAAGTTTCTTGTTAATTCCGTTTTCAAAAGGGCAGCTCTATGCACAAAGCATCTGGCGTTCACACAGATGCTTTTGAACACATGTGGAAACTTGTCCCTTCTCAAGTCTTTTAGTTTCTTCACAGAAGCACTGTACATTCCATTTCTATGAATGTGATTTATATTGCTACGTTGCTCGGATTGATCAAAGTATCATTGGATGTGTGTAGGATCCTCCAAAATCTATGCATTTTTGGAGGGTTCGAGCAACATGGTATATTTTGTGAAATTGATAACTGATATTTAAAGTGAAAATACACAATTGAAGATAGTTTTAAATGATAACTTTCTGTATGCAACATTCTGAACTTCAAATGCGTTGGTTTATATTCTACTGTCCAGGTGAAGCTGTTTATGTAGATGACATCCCTTCACCACCAAACTGCCTACATGGAGCATTTATCTACAGTAGAAACCGTTAGCTGGTGTAAAAGGAATCCAGCTCAAGTCTAATCAATTAACAAATGGAGTCACCGAGGTTATAACTTGTAAAGATATCCCAAGTGGAGGGGAAAATGTAGGAGTTATTACAAGGTTTGATCCTGAGCCCTTATTTGCAGATGATCTCGTCCGATGCGTAGGTGACAGAATCGCAATTGTGGTGAGTACTTAAAGTTTCCTTCTTCTGCTTTGTGTTCTATGAAATATTAATTTGTCATGCACTTCTATATAGAGGAACTTTGAACTATTCTGAATGACACAGGTTGCTGACAGTCAGAGGTCTGCTGATGTGGCTGCAAGAACGGTCCTTGTTGAATACGATACTGATGATATAGATTCACCCATTTTAACCGTCGAGGATGCTGTTGAAAAATCTAGCTTTATCAAAATCTCACCATTTCTGTATCCAAAACAAGTCGGTGATTTCTCGAAAGGAATGGCTGAAGCTGATCACAAGATTTTCTCTGCTGAGGTATTTTGTATTTCTCTATTGTTCACGTCTGTTATAATGGTTTCCCGTGTTGGAAATATTTCTTTCTTAAATAACAACTTAGGCTTTAAGATGAGATGATGACACACTTCAACATGGTATCTGAGCAGGCAGATGTCCTAGGTTTTTATCTCACCGCTACCCATCATTAAAAAGAATATACACGTAGTTGTCTCATAAAAAGAAAATCCAAACCCGCACGTGAGTGGGCCTGTTGAAGATAATTAATTGGTTCCCGGAAGGTGATCTAGCATGTCTAACTGTAGATGTATGCTAAAGGTTTGAATTTTTTACTTATTGGATTTTTTAACAATCATTTCCAGGTAAGACTTGGTTCCGAGTACTATTTTTATATGGAGACACAGACTGCCCTAGCAATTCCAGATGAAGACAACTGCATGGTTGTTTATACTTCAAGCCAGTGCCCTGAGAGAGCACAATATATGATCGCCACTTGTCTTGGTATTCCTGAACACAGTATCCGTGTAATTACCAGAAGAGTCGGAGGTGGCTTTGGGGGCAAGGCAATCAAATCAATGCCAGTGAGTTTGTGATATAAAATTTACTATCTACATAATTATTTTTGGAACATTATTAGCTTATTTCCTATAGTATTAGTTTATGAAAATTTCTGATTCTGATGTCAAAGTTTATGTATGATTTTAGATCTCTGCAGCCTGTGCACTTGCAGCATACAAGTTAAGGCAACCTGTCAGGATATATGTCAACCGGAACAGTGACATGGTAATGACAGGAGGAAGACACCCAATGAAAGTAACATATAGTGTAGGATTCAAGTCGAGTGGAAAGATCACAGCATTGCATCTTGATCTATTGATAAATGCTGGGATCTCGGACGATGTAAGTCCCACCATACCATTAAATGTGATTAAAGCACTAAAGAAATATGATTGGGTGCCTTATCTTTCGATGTAAAACTATGCAAGACAAGTCTTACTAGCAAATCGGCTATGCGGCCCCCTGGGGAGGTGCAGGGATCTTATATTGCCGAAGCTATAATAGAACATGTATCAAGTTCACTGTCGATGGAGGTGGACTCGGTCAGAAATAAAAATGTTCATACATTTGAAAGTCTTAATTTGGTCTATGATAACATTGTATCAGTAGGAGAATATACAATGCCTAGTATCATGGATAAGTTGGCTGTGTCCTCAAACTTTTTTCAACGTAGCAAGATGATAGAACAGTTCAACCAGAAAAGCACATGGAAGAAAAGGGGTATCTCCCGAGTACCAATCGTGTATTAAGCTATAGAACAATCGAAACCAGGAAAAGTCAGTATTCTGCAAGACGGATCAATTGTTGTAGAGGTAGGAGGGATTGAGATTGGCCAAGGGTTATGGACAAAGGTTAAGCAGATGACTGCCTATTCTCTTGGTTTAATCGAAAGCAGTTGGGCCGAAGAACTTGTGGAGAAAATACGAGTCATACAAGCAGATACCTTAAGCATAGTGCAAGGTGGGTATACAGCTGGGAGCACTACATCGGAATCAAGTTGTGAAGCTGTTAGACTTTGCTGTAATGTCTTGGTTGAAAGGTTGAGTCCTCTTAAGAAAAAGTTACAGGAACAAAATGTCTCTGTTGATTGGCCAACACTGATTCGCCAGGTTTGTTTTCTCACTATATTGCCACCTAATTTTCACATTGTCACAGTCCATAACTTCCGCTTTTCCGGGTTGGTTTTTGCAATCACAGTTAATTTGTATTCTTTGAGATGTCATCTTTGTAGGGAATGCATATCAATGATTACCTAGTTCTTAACATGTCATTGCGTCCTAACAAAACTCATGATTCCAAAGATGCTAAATTTAAATTGGTCACAAGATAAATTCTGGAAAGTATTGTTGAAATCGGTTTAACATACACACAAGCGAATACGAATTTTTTAGTGTTGAATTCAATTTGAAGACCATAACAAAGTGATTCACTTTAAGTCAATGGAGGAAAATGTAGCGACCCGTTGGGTCATTAATTGCGTGTATGTAGCTTGGGAACAATTTGTTAATTTAAATCCATTAGCCACTCTTGCTCATCTTTTAAGTATCTTGTTGGATTTTATTTGCCCTGATTTCTTACCATAAATAGGTTTTCCTTTTAGGAAAAGGTTTTGAATTGACTAATCCTTTTCTTGTAGGAAAAGGTTTAGGACTCTATAAATAGATGAATATTCCTTTTAACTTAATCAGCATTCACAATGTAGTCTTACAGGCTTTGAGAGTTTTGGTTAGAGGGAGAATCTGTGGGTCACAAGCTTGATATGTTATCACTTGTGTGAACCTCCCATGTATTCTGAGTGAATTGGTTGAGGTTGTTTCTCTCTGTATTTTGTACTCTTATATTTATAGTGGATTGCTCATCTCCTTTGTGGACGTAGGTTGATTGACCGAACCACGTTAAATCTTTGTGTCTTTTGATATATTTCTCGTTGTCTTCTTACTCGTGGTCTTTCGAGGTTTGTATTGCTAGCTTCCGCGTTTACACCTGCTTATTTTCGGTCCTAACATATCTGAGTTTGCAGTTCTGTCCCTCCACCCCCTTCTTTTTGCAGGCACAAATGGAATCAGTAAACTTAGCAGCAAATTCTTATTATGTACCAGAATCTGATTTTACGAGTTATTTGAACTTTGGTGCTGCTGTCAGTGAGGTAAACTTGTTGTTTGTCACTTTTTCTGGTTCAGTCATCCATGTTTTGGTAAAGTTCCCAGCTTCAGTCTTCGCTTCATTAAAGTAGACATAGAGAATTAGATCACCAAGATTACACAATCCAATGCCAAATTTTATTCCAATTTCAAGAGCTCGGATCAAATCACTATACTAATACTGATTTGATCCGACCTCTCTTATTGAGAATGAATGAATGATCAACCTTGAAGAGGACTTGGACGTAACCTCCATGTTCTTAAGCATAAGATTTTGAGTCTCCTGTGTCTACCCCGCCTACCATTTCACCACCAAGACATCTTGAAAGTGAATCGTATTCATTGATTATCATTTTTTAATATACTTCAGTGCACAACTCTTGGCCCGGAACTCTGATGTGAACCATTTTACAGCCAATATATTTTCTGCAGAACCTTCATATGGCTCAGTAACCAATAAGGGTCTTCTGCAGGTGGAGATTGATATCCTGACCGGAGAGACTACCATTTTGCAATCTGATATTATTTACGACTGTGGGCAGAGCTTGAATCCAGCCGTTGATATGGGACAGGTGCATCATGCATTCGAGCTGTTAAAATAATGCTGTTATTCAAACTTCAGAACTATTTAATCCTTGATCACTAGATTGTTCTAAATAGGTGGCAATTGTTTTTTTTCTTTCTATTCCTTAATTGCAGATTGAAGGGGCTTTCGTTCAAGGAATCGGATTTTTCATGAACAAAGAGTATCTTACAAACGAAGATGGGTTAATGGTCTCGAATAGTACATGGACATACAAGATCCCAACAATTGACACCATACCTCGAAATTTCAATGTTCATGTGGTAAACAGAGGACACCACGAAAAACGTGTTCTCTCCTCTAAAGGTATAATTCTTTCTTCATCTTCTTTCCTGTCCCTGATTCAAACAAGTTTCTCGAGTTCACTGATTGTTCCTTTTTAACTGAGTATGGCATGAAACATGTTATGGAATGAAAGAGATATGACAGAAGATAAAATAGAAAAGAAAATAAACAAAGCTAATTGTATTGAAAATTTGACTTCAAATCCTGGATCCGTCTTTGTTTATACAAAACCGTTGAATCTTAATATGAATACTTTTTTTCGCAGCATCTGGTGAGCCACCGTTGCTTCTGGTAGTCAGCGTCCATTGTGCAGCACGAGCAGCGGTTAAAGCAGCACGTGAACAGCTCAAACAATGGGACAAGCTTGACGGGTCTGTTTCAGAATTCTATCTGGACGTCCCCGCCATATTACCCGTTGTGAAGACACAACGGTTAAATATTGTTTTTCTTTAAATCTTCTTATTAAAAGAATAAGTTTCTTTTGTTTTTCTGTCAATATCAAACCTCAACGTATATTTTTGATCGTTTAGCAATAAAAATAACGTTGTAAAGATTAAATTAGGTGGAATGTTTCTCTATTAATAATTAGGGCACAAAAGTATTCTCCGTATTATAAAATCAAATACTATGACATTTCTGTGAAAAAAAATTATTATATTACGAGTGTATATAATTTAAATTTAATTCGAAAACGTTATACCTTAATACGTATTAGATAAAAGTGCTTGTTTTTAGAATACAAGAGGTGTTTCCCCGACAAAATCATGATTCAAGAATGTGTAACATAATTTACTCTTTTATGATTTTTCGTCAAGCTTAAATTACTATTTCATTCATTCTAATTTATTTGTTAAGGTTTGAATAAACATGAAGTTTAAGAATAAATTAAGACTTTCGAAGTTTATGGTCATAATTAAACATGTGCTAATATTTGTATGGTATATATTTTTGAAATATATAGTTTTAAGCATTCTCATTTAGTGTGAGGGATAAGTACAACTAGTTTCGGGATAAAAAGATAGTCTTGAGATAAAATTTAGATGAAATGTTATTCGGTTAACATATCCGGGATAACTTATTCATCATTTATAGTATAGTAATTGAATAAGTTATCAAATATGCATGGCGGAATAAGCTATCCCGAGGATAATTTTTTATGGAATTACTAGTTCGACCCTAAATTTGTGTACTAATTACACGGAGGTACCTGACATTTGTCAGCCGTAGATGAGTTACTACTATGAAAGCATGTCTTTAACACGTGTCATCATCTAAACACCCTCCCCTGCAAAACAAAAAACCCCAAGAACGGACAACTCGAAGAGCCAATACTTACCTTTGCGTCCAAAAAATGGAGAATGAGAGAGAAGAAATGGAATCTACTAATGGTAAGAGCAAAAGGGTATGCGTTAGAGTTGAAAACGACGCTGTTTGTTCCACCGGTGGTAGGTGGGATGAGTTAAGCCCGGAGTTATTAGCTTCAATTTTCGTAAGGATTGTTCCGCCGGTGCTGATGGTGAAGTCAGTGGCCTTAGTTTGCCGAAATTGGATGGAGATAGTTTCCGGTCCATACTGCTGGACGGATATTGATCTGGAACAGTGGTGCCGTGATTGCTGCGTTGCTAATCGTCCCCACTTGATTGACCAGGTTGTTCGTAAAATTGTTCGCCGGAGCAGGTCCACATTCCGGCGACTTTCCACTTTCCGTCTCGGCGATGTCGGATTCTCCTTTGCTGCTAGCCGGTATTATTCTTCTTACTTTTTTTTTTCTACCCAAATTCATAGTATTTGCTTTGCACTATAAGGGTTGCTCGGCGCAGCTCTATCTCTAGCTCTCAGGTTATGGGTTCGAGTCATTTAGTACTAAAAAGGGGTAAAAGTAATAAAGAAAAAAACTTTGCTTTATTTTCGATCAATTTATTGTATTTGCTGAACAACGGTTGAGCCAGGATTTTCAAGGAGGGATACAAAATATACAAGAATAAACACACTGATTCAGTATCGACTCCATATATATGAAAGTTAAATTTTGATCTTGAATATATAGGTAGTGTAATTTTAAGTTTGACACCCCTTACTGTGGTTTAAAGAGGGGTTGTTTGACTGAAAAAAGTGATCTTGTAGTGTTTGTTTATGGAGAAATGTGTTTGATGGATTAATATGATAGGGAAACTTGTTAGTGTCCCATATGGAGTAATGCAAAGGTCCAACAGATGAGTTTTGTGGAAGTTTTTAGCTGTGGCTTCAGTTAAGAACCAGTAAATCACAGGAAAAGAATCCCAAAATGTTAACAAAAGTAGATGAAAACTTCTGAAATAAACAATTCTTGATGATAAGACCCCTAGAAATGATTCATTCAATATATCATATGTAACTTATACAAATTCAATAAACAAATAAAAATAAGGAGACATGAACAGTTTATAACAAGAAGATAGAAAAGGGCAAGATAATTTCAAGGCCATATAGATAAGAGGTCCCTTATACTTGACTCCAATTTTCATTTTAAAACCTCAACTAGGACCGGTACCTATTGAACTCTTGAACTTATTGAAAGTTAACCAATTAAACACAAAACCTTACGTGGCACAAAAGGTGTTTTTTAACCAGTGATGAGCTCGTGAATCACTTGAATACTCTTTCCCCTTCACCTTCTACGCCACCAGCCCACCACAAGAAATTTGACATATCTCAAGAAAATGATATTAAAGAATTAGTTATATTATTAAATAAAAAAATCATTTATAGAAAAATTATTAATAACTTTGCATTTAGCAAGAAGTAGAAGTCCAAATCACAAAACTTTAATGTGTAGTAAAATTCTAGAATACAAAATTACACACATGTATCTCACATTTGTCAGCCGTAAGATGAGTTACTATGAAAGAATGTCTTGACACATGTCACTCATCTAAACACCCTCCCAGCAAAACAAAAACCCCTAGAAGGGAAAATTCCAAGAGCTAATACTTAGGTTTCTCTACCAAAATGGAGAAAGAGAGAGAAGAAATGGAATCTATGAATGGTCCGAACAAAAGGGTATGCGTTAGTGTTGAAAATGGCGCCGTTTGCACCACCGGAGGTAGGTGGGATGAGTTAAACCCTGAGATATTGGCATCGATTTTCATAAGGATTGTTCCGCCGGATCTGATGGTGAGGTCGGTGGTGTTAGTTTGCCGGAATTGGATGGAGACGGTATCTGGTCCTTCCTGCTGGATGGAGATTGATCTGGAAAACTGGTGCCGGAAATGCTGCATTGCTAAGCGTCCCCACCTGATTGACCTTGGTGTCAGCAAAGCTGTTCGGCGGAGCAGGTCCACAGTCCAGCGACTCACCACTTACCGTCTCGGCATTGCTGGATTCTCCGCCGCTGCTAGACGGTATTGTTTTGTTACTCTTTTTTTCTACCCAATTCGTTCCAAACTCGTACTATTTAGTTCTAACTCTTAATATTGTGGGTTTGAATCATTTAGTTCTACTCTAAGATTGTGGGTTTTAGTACTAAAGAGGGGTATAAGAAAAAATGAAAAAAACTTTGCATTGTTTTTCAAGCATTTGTTAACTTGCAGTGGTGGAGCCAGGATTTTCACCGAGGGACCTCATGAGTGATTCAAAATATAAAAAAATGAAACTCATGAAACCAATTTGATTCTGTATCTATTATATTGTATATAGTGTAATTTTCAGGCGAATTCCCTTGTGGCCCCTAGCTTTGCTCCTACAAAAGCATTGAATGACACCCCTTATTGTGGTTTAAAGAAGGCTTGTTTGATTGAAAGTAGCGATCTTGGAGTATTTGTGTCTAGAGAAATTTGTTTGATGGATTAATACAATAGGAGGAACTTGTTTGTGTCCCATATGAAGTAATGCAGAGGTCTTACAGATGAGTTTGATGGAAGTTTCTAGCTGCAGGCTTCGGTTATGAACTGGTAAATTACTGTAAAAGAATCCCAAAAGGTTAACAAAGTAATTGAGAACTTTTTAAATGAACAATACATGATGATAAAGCCTCTTGAAATTATTCATTCAATATATGATATGTAACTTATACAAATTCAATAAATAAGTAAAAATAAGGAGAAAGAAACAGTTTAAACAAGAAGGTAGAAAGGGGCAAGATAATTTCAAGGCCAAATGCATAAGAGGCCCCTTATACTTGACTCCAATTTTCATTTTAACACCTCAACTAGGACCGGTACCTATTGAACTTAATTGAAAGTGTACATATTAAAGTTTAAAATCTTCCGTGGCATAATATGTGTTTTTTCACCAGTGTTGAGCTCGTGAATCACTTGAATCCTCATTCCCCTTCCCCTTCTACGCCGCCAGACCACCATCATTTAGGTTTAGAGGACCAGAGCAACAAAAATACAATCAATTTCTCTCCTAATCCTATTTGAAAATATAATATCTTTTTCTTGGTGACCTTTGTCATCTGAAAATGGTATATTAAACCTCATTCAATCCTTTTTTCCTTCTAAACTGTAAACCATTTTTTCTATCCCAAGGTCCTCGCTCAATTTAGCTTATGACAGAATGTGGAGTACAAAAAACTGTAACAATATATCTTAACAATCGGAATTTGTTAATGCCTCAGTTATTCTATTAAGCTTGGAGGACGTTATATGAGCTTGCAATCTCACTACTTCTGTAACTATCTGACCTGCATTTTCTTGATGCCATGTATTCGATAACCGGCATTTCTAGCGGCGAAGTCTAAACGTTTCTGTATCCCCTTTCCTGGAGACCAAAATTGAGGTGTTTTTTCTTCATTTTTTTTAGTTGATCTGACGTTTCAGTTTTAGGAACTATTAGATCGTTTGTGATTGTGATTTTTTTATGAGTGGGGACATTTTGGTGGAATAGAGGTGATGTATGGTGGCAAATGGCTGTTAAAGAAGAATGGGTAAGAGTGTGGGGATGAAGATTATAGGGAAGTCGATGGGTTGGGGAGCCATCGACGTGAGTTGGAGTAAGATTAAGGTCTTGGAATAGGTTTTTCCTTGTTGTTTAGAGTCTTTTTCTTTGATTAGTTTGGAAGATAAGACACATGTTTTTTTTTGTATTTGTCAACGTTTTCATGTCACTGTGTGTGTAGTTCACGTTCTGTATCATTTTGAGTGGTTAGTCATGAGGAATTTAAGCTTTAATAGGTACACTTTTAATTAAGTTGGAGTGCTTAATAGGTACCGGCCCTAGTTGAGGTGCTAAAAATGAAAAGTTTTTGAGCAAGTTTGAGGGTCATTTGGCCAAAATGTGAAAGCTAAAAGAAAACAGCGTATGATGATTAGCCATGAAGAGTTTTTATCAAATGATCCTCATTTTTGAATTGCACTCAGCTAGACGTGAGTTGATGTCTTGACAATTTAAATCCTGATTCATATAAAAAGATTTACAGATAAGCTACTCTCTTCGATTAAATAAAACTCAATGTTGATGAATTAGCTCGTTCATCTGTACTGTTAGCTTATTCACTAATATATGTCTTCTATATGAACCTTTGTGATTTTATTTTCCAGTTTTATTTTCAAGGAGAAAGGACAATGAACACAGAAATG